CCCCACAACACACCTTTCTTTGTAACACAAACTCTGATCACTTTGGTTCAGATACTTACAAGTATTGGCAAGATTGAACTTCTAACGTATTTTGGCTGTCATTTCAAAACACAGATTGACAAATAAACTTTACAAATAAAATATCTGATTTCATGATTACATATTTACAGTTACAACTGTCCACCTTTAGTTACATCTAGTTGTAAGGTACAGAAAGGTACTTATTTCCCCTTGTGCAACCTTAAACTCAAAATTAAATTTAGGGGATATAGTGGCTTTTGTCTTGCACGTACATTTTACAGAGGCACACTCAGGTAATACCATTAAAACTGGATTATATAAGAAGTGAATTAATACAGTTTAAAGAAACAGTGGAAAATGACAAGCCAGGCTTTAAAGCTGCAGCCCATAATTTACTATTCGGTAATACCAAAAACTTCAATGTAATTTCTTCAGAATAAGTAATGTATTCCTCACTGCGTGAAGCCTTTTTTAAAAAAAATCTCCAATCCAGGAAAAACAAACAAAAATCTGATTAAGATTAAAACGCTTTCCAAACATGTTTGATGCAGAGGTGAGCAAATTCTCAAAAATTTAGTTTGGAGATGATCCACAAGCATTCCAATAACCTTTGAAATATTTTCCTAGTCAAACCAAGGAGTGGGGAACATAACCCTATTCCGATCCGCCTATATAGCCTTTGAACTCTGTCTTTCTGCTTACTTCTTTTTTAAGGAGCAGCTAGAGGAGAAACTGTCCTGGAGTTATCGCCTTCCCTTCCTTCTCCATTGCATTAACATGCTGAGTAGATGTGTGCTGAAAGCTTTTTGCTATGCACATTAGCAGACGGAATCTCAGAATTCTTCTCTAGTTCAGCCCAAAATAAGACAATAATTCTAGAATCTAGAAAACCAGCCTTCCCTTTGTGGCAGGCTTTCCCCAGCACCTGAATTTAATTTCTACTTCAAACAGGAAATCTACACTGACATCTCAGGCTTAATGTCCCCAGGATGGCAAAAGAACCTAGAATTCGAGAAAGCGACTCTTTATCAGGTAGAGTCACCTTCCCCAGAGCAGCAAAGCAAACCACCTCCAGTGTTGCATTCACCATGAACTGGTTAGTTTAAGGGAGTCCAAGTCTTCTAACATTACTGCAGGTTAGTGCCCTCGTCCACTTACACCCACAGCTGCATCACTTGAGCTATTTGTAAGGATTTTGTGTCCCCATATCTCAAACAGCTGTTCAGTGGGGGAGGTCAGAAAATAAAGTTGGAAAAGGATCCACAGTTTGAGAAATGCTGTTTTGGGACACTTTGGGGAAAATCCTGGGAAGATTCTTCAGCTTATCTAACACTCAGAGAAACCAGTGATTTCACAGATGTTTTTGGGCTCTCAGTCCCCATCTGCACCAGACAGCATGGTTAAAAATGATGAGAACTGGTTCAACAATTATCTGGAAATCCACAACTTGCTATCCCTGGTCTAAAACATAACCTTCTGATTGGATTAGAAGCTGAACAAGGCTGGAAACAAAAGTGCCTGAAGTTGAATGGTGGTGTAGCACAAGCTCATTTTTGTATCAGAGCCACAGGAGTGGAGTATTCCTTTTCAAAAGGGTTTAGTAAAAGACACTAACTAGCAATACTAGTTAAATTATTGCTGACTTTTGCTTTCATGAAGCATTAAATAAGTTCAAAACTTTTTCTCTTTAATGTTCATTGTTCACTGGAGATATTAAAGAGAATACTACAAGGCTCAGATTCCTTTCAACTGTACATTGCACTTTAAATTTGAAAACCTAACATCTGCTCATTACATCAGTGGTGGTCTATGGTATTAAAATAACTATTGTGCTCACCATGGAACTAGTTGAGAACACCCGATATTTAATGCAGTGACATTAGCACTCTTCCTTATAAAGCAATCACAGATTGCAAGTTCTGCAAATTTGCAAAAACAAGAACACAAAGTGATCTGTTCAGAAACGCACCGTCAGACAAGAGTTCATTTACAAGAGACTTTAAGTAACACTATTAGCTTGCCCCCTTCCTTTCATGGCAAGTCCTGTTTCAGCTCTGAAACCTGCCAGATTCCCAACACTCAACAGGTATCCCATAAAAATGTTCTCCTCTTCACTGGTATAGCATAATGAGGGCATACTTCTTGGTAAAGTTCTTAAGGATCCATCTAACAGAGACCCAGTGGCATATCTTTTGAAACAAAAGTAAATTTTGGCTGTGTGTTTCCAAGAGGAGAAGTGATATCGGGAGTCATAAAACAGCTGAGCAGCTGACAGACTTTCTGTTGGTTTTCAAGATGGTTTGCACCCTACCTCAAGAAGCCAGGTGCTTAAGACATAAATCAATGTAGAATTCCTGGACTAGCCTTGCCGCAACAGGGGGGCCTGCAAAGAACTTCTCTAGGGCCTGCCCCATTATTCCTTCATATAACAATGGTTCTTTCATTCCGGTCCCCTTCGTTTTAAAGGTGACCATATGATGAACGATACTTGGAGAAATACTATTTTACTACTCCACCATGCTATACCAAGCAACTGTCCTTTGGGTACTTGTAGAATTAAGAATTGCTTCAAGGCTTTGAAAAAGGGCAGCAATTTCAAGGACTCTGGGAGAACAGCCATTAAGAACAGGCTTGCTGTGCATGAAGTCTGTGCTGAACTTTTTCCACCAAACAGTCAAACTCAGAAACTTCTCGGAAATAAATCAAGGTAAGCTCTTGACCACTTTATGGTGAGTTATTTTCTTCCCAGGTGCAGGGAGCTCACACTGGCTATTCAAGAAGAAAAATCCTAGCTTGAACCTTATTCTGCTTTCCCAAAGACAGTATGGATCCAGGTGTTTAGTCAGTGTGAGGCTTCTGAGGAACACCCTGTGGACAAAGCCAAAAGTGTTATTGTAATAAAAAAAAAAAGTATTGCATTGAAATTTGTGTTCTTTGAAATTAGTTGGTTTTGTTGCTAGGCTTGCAGGCAGCTCAGCCCAAGTTGTGTAAGACTTAGATTCCAATATGCTATTACTGAAGTCCTAGAAAACAATCTGATCTATCAGGCAGAAACATCTTTCAGGGAACTCCTTTCCCATAACAAAGATAAGACTTTTGTAATTGTTGTTGAAATATTAATTACCATTTTAAAAGAAAGCAAAGGGAGGGAAATAAGCAGGCCTGTAATTGAAGGGTTATAATCCAGTGAAGCGTCCTTTCACTTCTAGCCACCACCCAAGGATAACCACCCTGTTTGTTTCTGGGTACTGGATCAAAGGTCACAGTTGGGCACATCAAACATTTTCCAGCCACATCAAATTACAGGTCTAATGAGACACAGATCTCAGAATAAGCACACTAAAAGTTCGGTCCAGCAGGATGGGCATGCTCCGGGTCCCATCGGCCAAGGAATGTCAGCTGGCGGGGACCAGGAGACGTGCCTTTTCCGCTCTGGCGCCAACCCTCTGGAACATCCTCCCTCCTGAGATTAGGATGGCCTCAACCCTTTTGGCTTTTCGGAAGGCCTTGAAGACCTGGCTTTATGCCCGGGCCTGTTTCATGGTTGTGCTGATACTGACGGTTTTTAAAGATCTCTTGGCTGCATTTATGTTTATATTTAATTTTCTGTACTGTTTTAAGTGTTGACTGTTTTTATTATTGTTGGCCGCCCAGAGTCACTGGTCTGAGATGGGCGGCTATATAGATTGAATGAATGAATAAATGAATAAATAAATAAATAAATAAGGAAGGATGTAGGTCCTTCCTGCTTCGGACAGCAGAATGGAAGGAAGTGCAACACATGCCATTTCTTTTGCAGTGGGAAAAGCAGCTTTTGTTACTTTCTGCCATTCAGCCACTAATTATTCCTCCCCCAAACATTTAGAAGGCTAATATCTGGAAGCTGTTGTTAAGCTACTTTGGCTTGACTAAATTGTTGGATGAGATATTTAGGAGAAAAAAACCCACCTTTTTCCCAACCTGTTTTTCAATACATTTGATTTACTTAAAGTCACTTTGTTGACAAGGCTGCTGGCAGTGCCATCCTGAAACCTAGACAAGGACACTTCATTACCCAGCCAATTTGTTATGCCAGTTGTAGAGAGATACAGGAACTTTTAAGGCTTTTAAGATGGTTGAGGCCAAACATTCTTAGTAAAAATAAAATAATCAATTGATTCTTGGTATAGAAGAAGCAAGTTTCCTGGGGTGCTTCCAGAATCTGAGGCTGAATGCCACAGCTATTTCAATATACAAGTCACACATAGGTCTTTTCTGTCTTACTTCATTTACTGAAAAAACACTCAGTAGATGAGCTCAGGCATGAACACATCTGCCCACTCCCTAGGACGGTATTACACTCTTGTAGAATACCTGTCACTCTTAACAGGCATCACATGAAACATCCATGGGTAATAATTAAGGTCTTATCAGCTGAAGAATCCGTTTCATTTTAAAAACCCAGCAGAGATATATAATTACCATAGCAAGTTGCCGTCCTATGTTTCCTACAGTCACACCTCCTGAGAAAAATATACAAGGCAGCCAAGATCGGATATAAAGGAAATCTGGGGATGTATACCTAAAGGAAAGGAGAGAAAAAAACAATTGAGAATTGTTTGTAGTTTTAGCATCTCAACAAAATTGGTCTGCACATTTTGCTCCACTAGAAAAAGGGACAGCATGAGGAATTTGGATCTATCTTATTAGCAGTACTAAATAATTGTCTACACACACACAGACACACATTTACAGAGAATACTTTGAAAGTATGCATGTGCCTTAGGAAATGTCAAACCTCCAAGAGCTGTTAAGAAAAATCTTGTGATGCAATTTTGTAAATAAGCTCACAGAAGTTACCAGCTGGTTACAAGTTACACAGGCACAGAGTAGATGGCCTGCCTCCTTGGTCTATATGCGCAGGAGAGAAGCGGGATGGGCCCAGCAGTCCCTCAACACTTTCTCATTCATTTCCCCATCTGCAATTCCACAGGGCCTAAATGAAAGGCTGGTTTTGAGCAAAAGCGTGAGAGAGAGAGAACCTACTCTTCTGTGCCCCAAGTCCAGTTCTTTTCTTAATTGTACATACTACCAAGTCTAAAACGGTCTGCCCATATTACACAGCTAAATTTTGATCTTGCAGATAGAAACAAAGCTGTGTTGACTGATAGTTCTTTCTTTAGCAGAATAGCCACATATACTCAAAGAGCCAATTTGGTGTAGTAGTTAAGGCGCTGGACTAGAAACTCGGACACCACAAATTTTAGTCTACCCTGGGTGGACTTAGGGCCAGTAAATCTTTCTTAGGGCCACCACCTCACAGGGTTGCTGTTGTGGGGAAAACAGGAGGGGGCAGCATTATGTAGACTGTCTTGAATTCTACAAAATAAAGGCAGGCGATAAATCTAATAATAAATAAATATATTTAATAAACTAAAATAAGCGTAAGCATAATTTATGCCTTTTAAAAACGGCTGAACAATTTGAACGAAGAGAATGCAGGAGATACTTACTGATAAACTCCATTATAGACAAGAAACTGTGTAATCAGAGTAGCTACAAAAGCGATCGTAATTCCAAGACCAAGACCACTTCTTGAACGATCAAACGTCCACCAGAGGCCTAGGGACAAAGCTGCCAGGGTCAGGGAGAGCTGGATGTTGTTTGCAAAATCCAATTTCTAAGGAGCAAGCTAAGGAAATTTTAAAGTCTGGCGAGTTTCTTAAAACAAAAATCTTAACGTTTAGCCAGGTATCCCACCTCATTATATATAATATACATATATACATTTGAAAATAAATAAAAATTATCCTTTTCACTTTTTATTGGCCCTTTATCGTTCCTACCATTATCTTTTGTGTCTCATCCATAACATACACATGCAGAAATCAATTTATAGAAAGTACAAGAAGCAGGAATAGTGTATTTGAAAGACCATTTTCCTGCAAACCTGCTCAATTCCTCTTTTCAGCTGAGTATCTCAACCTGCAGGGGGCAGTCTTTTCTATATATTTTCTAAGCTCTCTTTAAGGAGACATTAATTTACACGAAATAAAATTTAAAGTGATGTCCTGATGGAGAAGCTAGAACAAAGCAAAGCAAACAGCACGGGCTACATTTTCACAATTAAGCAGCCTGAAGAAGCACATCTACCTTAAAATAATGTCTTGTATGAATGCAGCTGGAGGACAGTAGATTATTGAATCAATCTCCAGTTCTGTATGTGACATTTAAAAAAGAATGCTTTCTTATAGGCCTACCAAATTTTTATGAGTGTAAAAAAAAATTCCTGTCCTCACAATTTGCTACATTTCCAATAAATTTCTCTTGATAACACCTAAGCCAGTGTTGTCCAAACTTGGCCACTTTAAGATGAGTGGACTTCAACTCCCAGAATTCCCCAGCCAGCCATGACCTAAGCAATGCCTACATTCCACAAATGAAGAGATACAGCTGGCTATGTCTCATTTTGCTATTTAAGTCCATTGGTATGAATTGTTTAAGTATTAGATATAAGTTTGGCTAAGTCTTTGGAAGCCAGAAAGGGAATACGAAGATCCTTCAGATCACGATCAGTACCTCTACCAGCACTAGCATGAAAACAAGCCCTCATGCCATAGAAGACAGTAAGTTTATTTTTGCCAGCTCTGGTAGCTTGAGTTCAGATTCTTCAAGACAAAGCTGAAAGAGATACAATAAATTTTAAGCAAATACTTTAGAATAGTGTTTTTCAACCTCGGGAACTTTAAGATGTGTGGACTTCAACTCCCAAGATT